AATTAGGGCCTAGGGGTGGGGGGGCACGCAAAGCCTCCTCTGCTCCCCCCCCCTCCCACAAGCAGTGTGTGGAAGGAGGGCAGAAGGAGTCTTCGTGTGCTCCCCCGCCTCCAGGCCTCTATTGGCCTGGGAGCAGCAGGGCCTCTACAGGCTGGATCTACCCACTTGGCGGGCCGGATCCAGACTGCAGAGGCCCTTTTGCCCACCCCTGGGCTGGACACTCTCTTGCCCACACAAATTCTCAGGCCCTCTGAGATCTCCAACAGAGGATTTAGCACCAATGAATGACTCAACCACATTCACTTTCATTAACCAAAACAGGAGAAAACGACTATGGAGCAGTGCAGGGAATTGGCTGGGGTGCACTTTGCAGGCTGAATTACAAGGGCATGTTTTTGATTCATATGTCAGAGATGCACTCGGGAAATCTCTCTTTTCAAGCAGCTGTGTCTGTAAATCATCCAACATACTTTATATTTGTTTCCCTTCATCTTCTGTAACACTTGTCACACATCCCACTAAGGCTGCCAACGGGGGAGGGAGGGCGGCAAACGGGGTAACGGGAGATTTAAAAGGGCCCAAGGCTCCCAGGCTCTGCTACCACCACTACCTCAGCTGTGGCCAGAGCCCTGGGCCTTTTAAATCACTGCTGAAGTCCCTGGCAGTGCTGAAGGCTTGACTGGGGGAGGCTAGTACCCGGCCCTTCTGTGTAAGCCTTGCCCCCTTCTAGAGGACCTGGAGCTGGCTTCCCCCAGGGCCTGGAAAGATCTATCGTCAGTCCTGATCTCAACTTCTTATAACACTTTTCCTTTTTTGGAGATACTCCCAGCACTCTTGATTTTCTGTCTTTTTCCTCCCTCTAAATGGATCACAATGCAGTGATCTCCTTTGCACAGATCATCCCAACTTCGTGCCTGCCTCTCCCTTTCACCTTGCTGCCCTACAAGCTAAAAGAGCACAAGCAGAGAAAAGTTGTTTCCCCCCTCTGCCTCCTGCCACCCTGTGCTCACAGAAGAGCCAAAGTTCTTCACCCGGGGCTCCCTTCCACTCTCTCCCCCCCCCCTCCCGAGAGTCTTTTAGGCCACCTCCAGCTGCACTGTGGCTTTGGGGATGTGCTTCCTTATCCACCTGTTGTCACAGGCCAGAGAGAGGCTGATCAGCATTGCTGCAGCACACCTGAGGCAGCTGGCTGGTAGCCAACAAAGAAATTACAGTGTTTCTGTGGCCTTCTCAGTCAGGAGGTCAATATAAGTCACAAGGGCCAGACAAGGGCAATTTTGACTCAAGACCCCACCCAGGCCTCTTGGCTTCATGGACTGTGTAAGGTGGCTCAGATTTCAGTTCAACATAAATGCTATTCCAATCATTGTACACAGTTGAAAATAGAAAGTCAACATTGGCCCACACTTTCTCCTCCCTGATATTAGAGATACTGCAGTACTCTCCTGTTACAAGTATACAGAAATTACTGCGGTTCACAATCACTGGGCTAAATTCACTGCTACCAGAATTAGCAGATCCAACAGGCAACTTAGGATATGTCTCCCTGTCGGGGGGCAACCCCCCCCTCTCGGGGGGTGCCGCCCACGTCCGGGGCATAGTTTAGAGTTCTCGGGCCTAGATCTTTAGTACGCTGCCCCTGTATTAGGGGGAATATGGCCCACTGGCCTAGTCTCTCAGTATACTGTCCCTGTATTGGGGAAATACGGCCTCCCGGCCTAGTCCTTTGTATGCAGGCTTTGAGGCCTAGTCCTTCAGCCACGCCCCCTTCTCGCTGGGGTCCAGGGCAGGAGCAGTAGGGGGGCCCGGGCCCTCCCTCTCCACTGGGCCCTGACCCAGGGCCCTATCAGTGGCAGGTGACTCCCACCACTGGCTCGGCGGGGGGTCCTCCCCACAACGCGCCGAGCCCTCAGGGGCTTTTCCAGCTCTCTGCCCTGGGTCACTTCCTTGCCCCTGGCCCTGGCCCGCAGCGGTCCCACCTGTTGGCGTTGGTCGGGTGGCTGTAGCGGCACTTCCCCCGTCAGCATCGGGGTTGGCAGTGTCTGGCTCGGTGCCTGGGTCCCGGGGTGTCGGCCGGTGGCTCCTTCGTTGGGAGTGGCACTAGCTCCGGCTCCGAGGGCCGTCTGCCCCTTCTGAGCAGGCCTGCAGCCTTTTATACTTGGCTCTCCTGGGAGCATGCCCAGTAGGGCTGCGTGGGTGGGGCCTCTCCGCCCCCTGTACCAGGTGGTTTCCCTGGGCTTGAGTGCGGGGCAGGGCCGTCCCGTCACACTCCCCTTGCACTTGATCAACAAAATTTTTGTCATTCCTAGGTGCTTAATCCTCCTCCCCCACAAGAACAACAAAGTTTTGCTGTGGTAAGAGCAAACATGAATGCTGCTTTGTGGGCATGAGTACTCTCCTGCCGACAAAGCAAAAGCCGCTCGTAAGGGGTGGAGGTATCTTGTTGGCAAAAGACCCAACACACTGTGTTCACACATGCTGAATTTTAGTGACAGTGTTGATAGCCTGGTCCCTAAAAGCTGCATAGTGTACCGTAGACATACCCTTAGCCAGCAGAAATATCATCTAACTTCATCTGAAGCTGTTACAGCCAGCTCCAGCCACCAGCCAAGTGAAGTTGAGGGCATCTTTCACCATTATGGCCCTCTCTCCTACACATTTACATCAGTATGATACCACATTCCTCAGCTGAAGCTGCCATAACTAAGAGCTCATATAGCTGACAGAGGAGGAGAGAAGGGAAGAGAAAGTTGACAGGTAGAGAATAGGGGTGGATTGGCTGTTCTGGAGTCATCTGGTAAGAGAAGTTCTGCTATTTTAAAAAAAAATGTTTCATCTAACTTTTTTTTAATCAAAGATTGTTTTTAACAGTTTTGACAGGATTTGCAGAAAAATGATTGCCGGCCTATGCCAAGGAACAGACTGTGATTATCGGGTCTTTCCTCCTCTAATTGCTGTGACTCTATGATCCTTTAGTGCTAGGAAGCAATGGAAATCTGATGGTTGCCAAGCTAGAAGGGTGGTATGTTTTCTTAAATATTGTTTAACCAAATCTAAATGAAACTTTAAAAAAATACCAGCCAGAACTTCCCTTGCCATGCAATTCAGCTATCCAGTGCTTCAAACAGCATGAAGATTCTTTCACCCTATATTTGCACCCTAACACAGGGTTCTTGCTGGAAAGTTGTATTCATAGAACAACCCTTAATGCAATGCTATTTGCTCCACTGCAGTGCAAAGGGCCAATGCAAAGACATACTTCAGCCTGTGGGGCCCAGTCCTCATGCTGACCCTTCACACGGGGATATATTTCACACCTTGCAAGAAGTAGTTCCAGTTGTTGAATGGAGAGACAGATTGTGACAGGTATTTCTAATCCTGTTTTGAAAATTCTTTTGTTAAAATCTATACTGTATGAATTTCCCTTGAGTAAATATTTATTTAGCTTGCTAAGGTATTATAAATAATCACTATCATTTTCCCTTAAAAAGTCATTTCTATTTCCATTCAACACACTTCATAATTTTACCATTTAAGACACACTTGACTGAAGCATGGTATAAAATTGTCAGTCTAAATGCAAATTTCTCTCTAAAAAACTGACAAATTATGCTGTGATTTATATACAGATAAATCAATAAGTATGAGAGGCTAGTGGATTCAGATGCTTTTCTTGGCATGCTCTAAGTAAAACAAAATGTACTTCACAAAAAAAATAAAAATGTACAAGCCTTGGGTCTGGAGTGGTGCCTTTTACAGCTTTTTCTAATATAAAAGAGCAGAGTTACATAACTTTTCATAGCATTATTAATATATGTGCCACAAGTATCAATAGCACATTATAAGAAAATCATAACACTTCTACTGAATTGTACACTCCAGATCTGTAGCTATGACAAACGCAGTGAGAAAATCTCGGTCAATAGCTGAACTGGAGTGGTTCCCCACTACAATGGCTGGAGAAGACTATTTTTCAAAAGATCCTAAATTACAACCAGTTTAATGTACTCCTAGTAGTCTTGAAATCATATCTAAAGGACATAAGAAGTGGAAAAGAGAAGAAGAAATTGCTGCAGTAATCTGACACATATCACTTAAAGAGGGAAAAGGCAAAAGGAAAAAAACACCCAGACCGATTCCCAAGGTAAAGTGATAGGAGTCTGTACTCACCGTGGTGTTCAGATACCTGCTAAGTAATAAAAAGATCCAAACAAGCAACAAAGAGGCTCCTAAGATTCATACAAGTCAACTTTATGACCCAGCAAGTAAATCACTGATGAATGACCCTCACACGTTCATTTTTCTGCAAGTAAAGACTCCAGACTAAAGAAGAAACCATCACTGATCTATGCCTTACTACCAGGAAGGAACTAGTAGAAAACATGAGGCTAGTAGGCAAGTTATTTATTATGAGATCTTTTGGATTCAGCAAGATGGATCACAGAACAGCAGAAGAGCTTTGGACTTTAGGACAGCAAATCTGGGGAGTTAAGAAAGGCGAAGATGAAGTCCCGCTGGGAAGCCAACCCCACAGATACAGACCAAATGAAGCAATGTAACTACCAGTTCCCTGAGGCACGACAATAGTGTAGTCAAATCAAAACCCTCTGGTTTGGGGATTTTCAGTATTTTGACCAATAAACAGATACATGAATCTAAAAACCTGTCAATTAAAAAAATATGTCAAGGGAAAATGTTTGACCAATTCTAATAATTAAATCTACATGTGGGATTCAGTGGTATCTAGAATTATGAAAAACCTGATTCAAAAAACAATTAAATACAGATTGGAAAAAAACCCAACAAACCTTGAGGGGAAACAGTTGGAAATGCATTTCATCAGTGAGCAGGGGAAAGAGACCCATAGATGACTAAGTGACTGCAAATCTGACCTGCATAAACAACACAGTATGAGCCTTAAGGCCACTGCATTTGGGACTGCATAGTAAAAGGCCTACATTCCTGATGCAAAACAGTCTCTCTTGTCCTTTCTGCAATGGAGTACATGATTCTTCCATGCAGTACAGCCTAACAACTATATTTTACTTTTCCCTTGTACAAATCTGTGTGAATGTCAATGAATGTTATTTTCTTACATTTGTAAGTATTTTAAGTATTTGTAAACCAATAAAAATAGCAATACATTTGAAGAAAACAGTATGGTTTCAGTACTGATTACTTTATCCACAAGACACTAATAGATGTGTTGGATTTAACATACCCAGTATTTCCATTTGCATAAGCCAGTGGAACGGTACTGAAGTCAACTGTGATATCCCTGACAATGATGGTGCATTTTGGCCCTATATTTTTTTACCATTTGTATATTTGCTAACACAAGTGCTCACTCGTCATTTTGCTTGTTCTAGATCAGTGTTTCTCAACCTTTTTTTTATAAAGTACCCCTTTAAAAAAATTGTAAGTACCCCCCAGTACTTACACTTTTCAGACACACAAACTTTTTTTCTACCATTGCAACACATTTGTTCAAACAACTTAATCGTAGCCAGGTGCGCAAAGAAATTTTTAGGTGTAAAAAGTACGAAAATAATGAAGTGCTGTAAATAATAAAACAAAAATTCAGTTTTCTCCAATTTTCTGTTGTGTTGACGTACCCCCCAGGGGTAAGCATTGAGGTAGTAAAGTTTGCAGATGATACAAAACTGTTTAAGATAGTCAAGACAGAAGCAGACTTTCAGGGACTCCAAGAAGATGTCACCAAACTGAGTGATTGGGCAACAAAATGGCAAATGAAATTTAATGTGGATAAGTGTAAAGTAATGTACATCGGGAAAAATAACCCCAACTATATGTACAATATCATGGGGGCTAATTTGGCTACGACAAATCAGGAAAGAGATCTTGGAGTTATCGCGGACAGTTCTCTGAAAACTTCCACACAGTGTGCAGCGGCGGTCAAAAAAGCAAATAGGATGGTAGGAATTATTAGGAAAGGGATAGAAAATAAGACCCAGAATATCTTACTGCCCCTGTATAAAACTATGGTACACCCACATCTTGAATACTGTGTACAGATGTGGTCTCCTCACCTCAAAAAAGATATTTTGGCCTTGGAAAGGGTTCAGAAAAGGGCAACTAAAATGATTAGGGGTTTGGAACGGGTCCCATATGAGGAGAGGTTAAAGCGACTGGGACTTTTCAGTTTAGAAAAGAGGAGACTGAGGGAGGATATGATAGAGGTCTATAAAATCATGAGTGGTGTGGAGAGGGCCGATAAAGAAAAGTTATTTATTACTACCCTAAATAGAAAAACTAGAGGACACCAAATGAAATTAATGGGTAGCAGGTTTAAAACTAATAAAAGAAAGTTCTTCTTCACACAGCATGTAGTCAACCTGTGGAACTCCTTGCCAGAGGAGGCTGTGAGGGCTAGGACTATAATAGAGTTTAAAGAGAAGCTAGATAATTTCATGGAGGATAGGTCCATAAAAGGCTATTAGCCAGGGGATAAAATGGTGTCCTTGGCCTCTGTTTGTCAGAGGCTGGAGAGGGATGGCAGGAGACAAATCGCTTGATCATTGTCTTCGGTCCACCCTCTCTGGGGCACCTGGTGCTAGCCACTGTCGGTAGACAGGATACTGGGCTAGAAGGACCTTTGGTCTGACACAGTACGGCCGTTCTTATGCTCTCTTGAGTACCCCTAAGGATACTCGCACCACTGGTTGAAAAGCACTGTTCTAGATTACAGCACACAGCTGAAGTTTGAGGGCCGGGGGATGTTCCAGTGGAGAATAAAAATTGATAGTCAGGTATTTCTTTGACACAATCTTGTTTATTTGTAAGAAATTATAAAGTCCTGTGTCTCTGAACACAGAAGGAATCAAATAGCAGGAAACAGCATCTTTTGCAAACAGCAACAAGAGGAGTCTTTTCAGCCTGTACTATGATCCAAAAACTTCTCCCAGGTTTCTCCCAGGGTCAGACACCATGCTCCCAGCTGCTCCTTCAGTCTGTGTTGCTCTCTGGTTCAGAACACTCTCTGTTCTGCCCTCCCCTTCCCACCCTGCTGCACACCATAAAAATAATATGCATCACAAAGCCCATTTGGGTTAGGTGGAGACATTTGAGACCACGGGAGCCAGTAGCCTCGCTGGACTCCTGGACAGTATGGCACTCCCTCCAAGAAGAGGTGAGGGGCCTGTACCAGAAGGGTTGGGGCCAGGGAGCACCGCCTGAACCATGGTGCATCCCACCAAACCCACAGCGCTGCCTTGAGCGCACCATGTGGCAGCAATTTATAGGGCATGGGGCTCTGGGAGTCACTGCAACTGCAGTAGCAGTGGCCGGGAGCCCCAAGCCATTTTGAATTGCTAGGCCCTGGGACAGTTGCCATCTTCACCTCTCCCCCTCCCTTACCTGTCCTCCATCATCATGTTAACAGAAAGGTTGTTCACATCCACTCTCAGGCTATGTCTGCACTAAGCAGCTTTTAGCCACAAGTCTGTGTCGACATAGCCCTCCCGCTAAAAGTCAGTGCGTGGAAATGCTGTCTGTCATCACTTTTGCTAACAAAATACTTACAGGCCTCACAAGCGGCTTTCGCTTTGTCAGTCGGAAAGCACTCCTGCCAACAAAGCAGCATTTACTTGCCCTTCCTGTGACAAAACTTTTGCCTTTTGGAGGGAGAGAGGGTTTAAGCATCTGTGAACAACAAATTTCACTGATCAGTTGCAAATACAGAAAAAGCTTTAGTGACATTTTAGCTCCATCTATAACAGGGTTTCACTTGGCTCTGAATAATCAATATTTGAACACACCATCAAAACAATCAGGCAGGTAGCAGAATGGACACTTTTGCGGGGGAATAATCCGGGTTTCACATGTCAATACTGGCACAGCTCATCAATTATGTCATGCACATTCAGTCATCTTGAAAATGTTAGCAAGCTTTTCTGGTGACAATTGTGCTACTCAAACTAGGGATGCTAAATTGTGAGTAACTGACTAATCAAATCGTCAACGCAATTTGCATTGACTGTTTGATTAGTCGATAGGGCGACTCCGCCTTTGAAGTGTAGCAACAGCCGTAGAGCTGTTGCTGCACTTCCAAGGTGAAAACACTGCAGGGAGCATGGGTCCAGTGGGGCGGCAGTCTGCTGATCCTGTGCTTCCAATGGCATTTCAAAGCATCAGCACTGCGTGGAGCCTGGGTCAGCTGGGATTCCACCGCTGACCCCAGGCTCTCTGCAGTGCTGCTGCTTTGAAACACCACAGAGAGCCCAGAGTCAGGGAGACCAGCTGCTGCTTTGAAGTACTCCCACCTCTTCCCACCCCTCTTGCTGCCTCTTTCTGATAGTCATTCACATCCCTCACATCCCTGTCAACTAGTCATTCACATCCCTCACTAAAACTCCATACTCATTGCTAGAAAGCCCTAGGCCTCATCCTTCTTTGAGGTCTAGTCAAGTGGATCTCTGTGTACTCACAAAGCCCAAGTGACTTCTCTGGGGGAACTTCAGGACCTAAATTTGCTCTTTTAGTAGATCCTAACTTGCTTCCAATTTCATTACTGGCCACTACTGTCCAGGTGTTAATGTGGAAAACAGCTTCCTGCGTTCCTTTCCTGATGGCGTGGAATCCATAACCATCAGTGAGTTTTGTGTTTGGTACAGTTCTACTTAATTTTCCTCCTGCTATTCTCTGCTCATAGATACCTGTAAACACACATCAGTTACTTAAAATATATCAATTGAACTGTATTATTATTTTATGGGCATTCATTTCAGGAGAGGATTCATTATATTTTAATATATTTCCTATGGTGCAAAAGTATTTTGATAAATAATTCATATTAGAGTCCCAAATTTACAAGACTAATACTATTAGAATCACAGATGAGTAGAATGTACATACTGGCCACATTTATATTTTCAGATTTACACTATTACAATAGTTTTTATTATCTTTGATTTATGAAAGCTGAAGCCCGAAGGGGTAGATAAGTTGTCTTAAGAATTTACTCAATCTTTCAACAAAGTTAAATGGAGAAAAGATGGGGAAAGAGCATTTTCTCCTTCTAGATGTGTAGTTTGTTCAGCTATACAAATATAAACAACAAAAAAGGCACTACTTATTTTAAAAAAATATTACTTGAGGTCCTGTTTTTATTTTACTTATCCAGATAAAAATTCCATGGGAGGCCACAGGGCTAGTACTGCAAGACCAGACCTCCGTATTGAAGCTGCAAAAAATAAAGCCATCACTTATGGTTTTATGATGTGGACATCTGCTCGCTGAAAACAGTACTGCAGGCCCGCAGACAGGGGGCAAAGGAGGCAACTGCCCTGGGCCCCTCCCTCTGCTTCTGGGAGAGCATAGCCAGGGCTCCCCCCACTTGCCTTGGGGCCCAGCAAGTCTGTTAGCTCTTGTGCTGTATTGAAACTCATCATGATCATCTCAACAGTCATCTGGTGATACCAACTTCTGGTCACTATCTACTTACACTGGATTTGATCCAGCAATATAGAGGTGAAACAAAACTGTTCCATTAAAGCTTTTTCATTCCAGTACTGGTTAGATCAAATAATATTTATTTTGTTTTTCTTTTAAACAGAAGTTAGGTGGGATCTTCCATATCTACTGCTGAAAGGCCTGCACTATCTTAATCCTGTTATTATCACACCTATAGTTCTAGTTCTAGAACAGTGTATGGTGCACCAACCTCCGTGACCAGTATACAACACTTTTGCTGAATCCCCAACTCCAGATGCATTGGTTTTAGGCATATAATGGGCAGGGGCAGGTAGATAGGGTATATTCCAAATACTCTAACCTCTAAATAGATGGTCAAGCTACTTTGGGAGGAGAGAAGAAGTAGGAGTCTCTGTACCATTATAAAAATTACCAACTCACCTTTCCAGAGTCTCATTTTGAAGCTTGGCTCAGTGTTTAGGCCAGTCCCTGAAGAAAATCCTCAGTATTTATGATCTGTGTAGAAAGCAGCTTCTAGCTTGGAACTTATTTCTGACAACAGGTTAGGGAGGGAGAAAGAAAGTTGCATTATTCATTAATGAATTTTTTATTATCTTCCACAGTTGCATTATTCATTAAAGAAATGTTTATTACCCTGATATTTCACTTTGTTATTATTATGATGTCCAAAGAGTGGTTTCCTTGAACACTCACAGCCCTTCATGCAGCTATGCATTTTTTTAAAGCTGTAGAATACATGATAGTGAAAACCTAAGTATCACTAGTCAAATCTCCAGAAAATCAAGCAGCCAGAGATGTTAGTGACAATATTGTCCGTACAGTTTATACCATTGTTTGGTTAAGCATTACAACAAATGTAAGGCCCCTAGTACTGAGTTCACTTGGTTTATTCTTAATATCACAGCAAAATTCTAGACTTCACTCCATTTTGTAAATTACATCAGCATAAGAAATACAACACACAGGATACATAAATGGTTATCTTTCTTATAGCTTCCAAAAATAAGGATCTCTACAAAGAAATGAGGGGTATTGTGAGATCTCCAGTGACTGCCATAAAACCAAATAGAAAAGACAAAAGATAAATCTAAAGGAGCCATATAAAATACGCTTTTGACTCTCCGGGGTTAATGGATCATATTTCTGGTGCTACCTTGTTTGTTGTAACTCAGTTTTCACTCTGGATTACAAATAATCCCATAATTCATCATGTTCTGGGCAGTTAAAATATTTATTTCTTTTTGACCTCCCACTAAGTGCATTCAAAGGAAAACAAATGGATTCTACTTGGGGCATGCACAATTTTTGTGCCTGTATCCCAGAAACCTGAAACCAATCCAGCTTTCTTGTGATTGAAAAAAGCTGAGTTGGCTGGGTTAAATCTGTTGTCAATATGGCTGGCTTACATAGTGAAATAGTTTCTTTCTGAGCATGGGAAAGATTTACTGTAGTCAAGATATGGACTTGAGATATATAAGCATGGATCACGGGATGGGGATGAGGAATGAGTGATTCTTTATATATAAAGGCACTATATACCTCAGCAAGAAGCTCTTGCCCTATGAATAATCAAGTTCCTGAATCAACAGACTTTATCTACTCAAACTATCACCCACATCAGAATCCAATTACAGCAAAGCCTACAGAAAACAGGTTTGGCACACTTTAATATTTTGTCATTAATCTAATTTAGCACTGGTTTCAATTACAATGAAGCACGTTTTATTAAGAGATACATTTTGTTTGTTGGCATTTTGATCACATTTTTCCCATATTGACTCTGATCTAGCTCTCTGGGTACTTGTGCCACGCACACTGCCATAGATTTAGAGATTTTCTCCATTTTGCTAAGAAATCAAACCCGGCATCTCAGAATGAACACAATATGTTTTTAAAATTGGCCTGAAGTTTTTGTAGCACTGATTCCACAGCGATGCAGCTCAAATTGACATCAAAGGACAAATGTATCCGATCACTTGACAACTGAAATACTTGCTTCAGAAAGAATGTAGGCATATAGTTAGAATAAAAAGTTCCTATCCTAAGTAAAATAAGCATTTTTTAGGATTAGTACAGTATCACTCATATATCAGTCTGATTTAGGTGCCTTTCCCCCCATCAATATGCATGTAACTGCTATTGAAATTAGTTGAAGTTATACAGAGCACAGAGCTCTTATTTAGTTTTCATATGAACTGCAGAATTATCTCATTTTCAAGTTTAATAACATACAGAAGAGATGTGGAAATAATTTTATCTTTCTTCCTCCTGAATTTGGCTAAAACCCTGCCGCTTTCCTTCTTACATTCATTGAGGAGAATGTCATCTGCACAATCCTAAATGCTTACAGATATTTACAAGCCTTTGCTTAAAAACCATTCCCAGTTAGAAATGTGCATCTTACGTCTAAAGACCCAAGTTTCTAAGAATTGGAAAAATTTGCTTCAATGTGCATTCCTCAAATGTAAATATAATTGCATATGCTGATAATCTCGAGGGTTTGCGGGATTAATGTAGGCTCATGAATTTATTGCAGTGATCAGAATAATCCTGCAGAAGAGAGATAACAAGAGTGCTGGAAATATTAAAAAGCAACTGCCGAACATTAGGGAGCAGTCACAATAATCCACAGTTGTGCTCATAAAATTACAAACCTCAGACACTTCATGCAGGTCCAAAAAGCGACAGGATTTGAATTCTGATCTTAGGTTTCCAAAGACAGATCATTTCTTGGTAAGGCAAAGGAGTAACAATATCTCTAGGGAAATTTTATGCATTGTGGAATGGCATGAATACATTCAGGGTAAAAACTGAAAGTTAGTATTTCCTCAAATCAAATGAAGTCTGAATTCTGATACATGCATGCAAGGCTGTGCTGAAAAGAAGTGTGTTTTATGCTAGGACAGCTTTCCAGTGTAGACCCAGGCACAGGCTTCTTTGATTTGACCTTCTAACTAAGGATGTAAAATCCTGTGTAAAATGTTAACCGGCCTGCTGTTTTGTGCAGTGGCCAGGTTGGAGCAGCTCCCCCACCCATAGTGTGCCATGGACAGAGGTGAGGGGCCCTGCTCCAATTGGGCTGGGTGCTGTATACTGATTTCCCTAGTAAGCATGCCGGTAGGGGAATGCTTACCAGATAACTGGTTAACCTTTTACATCTCTACTTCTTATAAGTCCTACCTCTAGTCCCGACCCTGCACTGCCAGCAAAAGAGCCTTCTACTCTTAGTGGCTAGGTCTACGCTATAGTCCTTTGTTGGGAAAAGCTATGCAAATTGCACAGCTCTTTCCATTCGCTTTTCTGGAAAAGGCTTTTCCACCATTTGGCCCAGTCTAGATGGGGCCAAATGGCAGAAAAGCCTCCTCTTTCAGCGGAGCCCTTATCCATCGTAGGACGAGATATACAGGGTTCCCTGAAAGAATACATTTGCTCTTCCGTAAACGTATTCCTTGGATGTGGCGGAGGTACCCTGGAAAAACCCCATAGTATAGACATACCCTCAATGTCTCTGTAACAGTCGGTTCCACTACATTCACCCCCTTTAAAGAATGATGTTAAAATTTGAACAAAGTATGCCTGGTGAGGTATCATTTGAAAACGTATGATTTACTGATCATTATTGTCTTGGTAGAATATGCATGGCAACATCTTATGTACAGTTATAAGATTTTACTGTGTGATTTTGCTGAGACGTGCTAACACATTCTGGAGGGCAGTCACAAAACGGTTCCCCAGAGACATGAGGCTGGCCTCAGCCAGGTGTCAACAAGATCAAATGGACCATCACCTGATTAAGTGGCTACTGTCCCACAAGGGAGAGAGAGTGAGCAAAGAATCTACATTTTGACAAAGCACCAGCTTGAGGTTTGGGATCACAGAGATTTTGTCCTCAGCTAGAGTTGATTCTGGCACAAGTTTTGCCAAGCATAAGAGCTTGTGTGCACAGCGCTATGTCAGTGGGAGACGCTCTCTTGCTCACATTGCTACTCGTTGAGGTGGTTCTCTCCTATCTATAGGAGAGCTCTCTGCCATCGGCATAACATGGCTTGATGAGCCGACACATCAGTACAGCTGTGCCCCTGCAAGCTTCTAAGTGTAAGACATGGCCTTAGCCAGTCAGACTGTTAGACTACGTGGTGATAAAGACCTTTCTTTGAATTCCCAATGGAAAGCAGGGCTGGCCAGGAGGTCGGAGGGAGCAGGGCTGGCCGGGAGAGAGCCACTGGGAGTGAGGCTGGCCGGGGGAGATCGGGGGAAGGGGGGGAGAACCAGCCAGTAGGAAGCAGGGCTGGCCAGGAGGTCGGAGGGAGCAGGGCTGGCCGGGAGAGAGCCACTGGGAGTGAGGCTGGCCGGGGGAGATCGGGGGAAGGGGGGGAGAACCAGCCAGTAGGAAGCAGGGCTGGCCAGGAGGTCGGAGGGAGCAGGGCTGGCCGGGAGAGAGCCACTGGGAGTGAGGCTGGCCGGGGGAGATCGGGGGAAGGGGGGGAGAACCAGCCAGTAGGAAGCAGGGCTGGCCAGGAGGTCGGAGGGAGCAGGGCTGGCCGGGAGAGAGCCACTGGGAGTGAGGCTGGCCGGGGGAGATCGGGGGAAGGGGGGGAGAACCAGCCAGTAGGAAGCAGGGCTGGCCAGGAGGTCGGAGGGAGCAGGGCTGGCCGGGAGAGAGCCACTGGGAGTGAGGCTGGCCGGGGGAGATCGGGGGAAGGGGGGGAGAACCAGCCAGTAGGAAGCAGGGCTGGCCAAGGGAGATGGGGGGGGGGGAGCGGGGCTGGCCAGGGGAGATTGGGGCAGGGGGGACATCGGCCGGCGGGGAGTGAGACTGGCCGAGAGGGGGTCAGGGAGAGCAGGGGTGTCTGGGAGAGATCATGGGGGGGGGGGGCGGGAACTGGTCGGCAGGAAGCAGGGCAGTACGCAACTACGTACTGATACTCATAATAATAAAACTAACTTAATTCGAAAATACCAGACATTTCTATGTCTGGCATTTTCTCAATTTATTTCCCAGAGAGAAAGCTCAAAACAGGACACCTGGCAACCCTCGCCTTTCCTATCCTACCTCTCTGCAGTGTGCTGGAACCAGTTGTTGACACTTTCCCCGCAGCACTCTCCATCTCTCTTCCATTCTTCAGCCAGAGATTTCAAAGCTACCGCAGCACTGATGGGAGAATGAGGGAGAAGTCAAAAACAGTGACCTCTACTGGCAGGAGACCAAATGCCTCCCTCCTTGCCTCACCACTTCCTACTTCTTTCTTCAAAGATACCAAGTCAGCTGCTCAGAACTGGATTTGGACAATGGGAACGGTGCTGGCCAGGCTGGAGCAGTGGGCAAGTATGCAAAAAGTCAAACAAGATAAACTCTCCCTACTCTTTAGCTCTAAAATGGGTGAGACTGGAGCGAGCGTTTCAGTCAACACCATAATTGTGCATATTTCCCCCTCCCCTCCCACAAATGTAAAAACAAGAACTCTTGGACCTTGTCAAAATCCAGAAAAGGCCCCAATTCAAGATTCGCTGCAGCTGCACTGATGTTGACCCTCACACCATTAGCACAATCTGTGGAAACCCAGCACATGGAGCCAACTCCGAGGTGTGTCTACCAGTGCTATGTCTGACTTGATTCTGCTCTCACTGAAGTCACATGCTTCGGGCCAGAAGCATTAAGGGCCCAGATTTGGCCAGGTGCTGGGCGCTCTTGACTTCCACTGAAATCAGGAGGAACTCTTGAAGGATCAGGCTGCAAACAGCACATATACAAAAGGAAAGTGAATACAAAAGCTTTCATTTTGTTCCTGTTTATTGCTTTTGTGTCTCAGCTTATGAAAATGCAATTCAGACATTTCTATCCTTATTAGTTTATGTTCCATATGACTTTCTTTGCACAGCTGATTTCATGGGTAGCTGATTTCACATGGTTTACACAGAGATTTTGCAACAGCGGAACTATTCCATTTCAGGGTGTCATATTTTAACTGAAATACTTATGCTAGCACAACCCTGGAGTGGCTACCGCAATACCAGTATAAAGATACTTTATATTTATAGCAATACAGCTTATTCCTCTTTCTACCCGGGAAAATGACACCAGTACAACGACAAAGCATCTTTATTCGAGTATAACTGGGTCCACCGCAGGAGGGTTGTCCTACCTTTGCATACTAGCCTTGTTAAAGTGGTACAACTTTTGTGTGTGGACAAGCATTTAAACCCCAAGCCTCCAACATTCAAACCAAAATATGTTTGTGACAATTCCTTGTACTAACATTGACTTTTGTGTGGCTGGAGAAATCCTGTTGTGCACAGAGAGGTGAGAGAAATTGATTTTGAAAAGGGCTAATCTATTGGAGCCGTCCTGAGCTCAACTATCTGGGGTTCAGTGTTTTTCAAACTGCTGCAGCTGCTGCTGAGAGGGTCTATTTACAAATGAAAGGGAAATTCACAGTTCATTCGGATGACTCATTCCAAGTTTACTGGGTGGTTCACACGCCTGCCGGAACAGGAAGGCCCTTATTGTGCTCAATTGTTTTCCTGAATGCCTTTATGAACAACAGCAAAAGGAAATATTACAGTTTGGCATTAGGCCATCAAGCTGCTTGGTACTATATAGTGCTTAGAATGCAAAACAGACATCAGCCAAGGCAAACAGATCCCTAGTGCTGCAGTTAGTTTTGCCTGTGTTTCAGATTAACTGCTGCTTTTCACAGCAATGGAGTTAACACAACAGTTACTCTTTTTTTTTTTAAGTTGGATCATTTATTTTCAATACTTATTTCATGTTCAATAGCCACACAGGACAGCATTTCACAAAGGTGGCTATTACGGCTGCATGCAGACACCAGGGGCTTTTCTGTGCAGCCACAGCCTGCTGGGTATGATTGGGTGAGGGAGGGGGGCAAAGCAGTGTTAAACACGCAAACGGGCACATCCTTGGAGGGGGGCAATGGGACAATTGCTCAAAGGCCTGAGTGGGGAGAATGGGGGGGAGGAAGGGGAAAATCTCTCTTCATGCTCTGTCCCCTGCTCTGAGTGCCAACTCCGCAATTCCCATCAGCCGGGAACTGTGGCCAAAGGGAGCCGTGCGGGCAGTGGTGCATAGAGCCCCCTGACAATCACTTCTGGGAACCACCCCACCCCACCCCTCCTGCACCCCACTCCTCTTCTCCAGCTCAGAGCCCACACACTGAACACAAACTCCAACCCAGAGCATGTCCCCTCACCTCCTCCCAGTGCCTGCACCCTGCACTCCCTCCTGCACCCCATACCCAGCTTGGTGAAAGTGAGGGTGGGTTGGGGGCAAGCAACAGGAGGGAGGGGGATGAAGTGAGTGGGGACAGGGCCTCATAGAAGCGGCAGCACAGGGACATGGTCTCAGGAAAGGGGCAGTCCATGGGATGAGCAAGAGTTTTAGTCCCCTCACCTCCTCCCAGTGCCTGCACCCTGCACTCCCTCCTGCACCCCATACCCAGCTTGGTGAAAGTGAGGGTGGGTTGGGGGCAAGCAACAGGAGGGAGGGGGATGAAGTGAGTGGGGACAGGGCCTCATAGAAGCGGCAGCACAGGGACATGGTCTCAGGAAAGGGGCAGTCCATGGGATGAGCAAGAGTTTTATGGCTGGTGGTATGCCGTGCGGGCAGTGGTGCATAGAGCCCCCTGACAATCACTTCTGGGAACCACCCCACCCCACCCCTCCTGCACCCCACTCCTCTTCTCCAGCTCAGAGCCCACACACTGAACACAAACTCCAACCCAGAGCATGTCCCCTCACCTCCTCCCAGCGCCTGCACCCTGCACTCCCTCCTGCACCCCATACCCAGCTTGGTGAAAGTGAGGGTGGGTTGGGGGCAAGCAACAGGAGGGAGGGGGATGAAGTGAGTGGGGACAGGGCCTCATAGAAGCGGCAGCACAGGGACATGGTCTCAGGAAAGGGGCAGTCCATGGGATGAGCAAGAGTCTTCTGGCTGGCGATATTAGAAAGTTGGCAAGCCTACCAAGCAGTCATGTGGAAGCTCCTGGCCTTACCAGAAGAGCTCGCTGGGTGACAGCAGCACAACTGGCAGTTCGCTGGGCACCACAGACACAGGCAGAATGTGTCAGGAGGAACATGTCCACATGGGCACAGTTTGTGCATGCATAGGAGCCCATTGATTTTTCTGCTATGGGGCCCAAAATTCCTCATATAGGTTGAACCTTTCTAGTCCAGCACACTCTGCTCTGACAATACCCAAGGTCCGGCATGATTTTTGTTAGCCAGATGTCCACTTATCATGGGTGCAGCCAAGTTTTCCACAGTCCCACTAAGTGTGTTCACAGCCACTGGTCCTGGCTCTCAAAGTTCTGTGCTGTTATTTAGCTCTAATTTACCCTTAAATGTCTTTTACGAGTCCAGAAAGCAGAAGTGTTGGTAATGCTGCTAGACAATACTGACCTCCCATGGTTCAGCAAATTCTCTAGTTCAGCTAAGCACTGGTAAGGTCCCAAGGGTGCTAGACTAGAGAGGTTCAACCTGTAGTGGACCTACCTACAAATATCACTTTTCACTGAAAGAGATTTACTAGCTAATATTTAAAATACTGTAAAGGCAAAAGAAACAACAATAATGAAAAAGACAAGAATGTGCAAAGCACATTATTTGTTTGTTCTGTTTAAGTCCAGAGAACTGTACATTATTTTACTATTGAGTCTGCATAAATGATGATTTGCACATGTGTGTGGATGTTTGCTTTTTCCAAAAGTTATTTTAAGAAAAATCATCAGCATTAGTGGCCACACTTAGAACCCACCAAAAAATTTCTTGTGAAATGCCCTGACATAGGAGGTGCTCTGACACCACCACTACAGAGGTGAGTCAGTGAAAAGACTCTCAGGCCATGTCTTTAAACGGGAGATTGACACTGCCGTGATTTATTTTCCAGAATACGATTTAGCAAGTCTAGTTAAGACTCGCTAAATCAAACTCAGAGACCCCACTGGCTGCTGGTACTCCTGCTTCTGTGAAGAGTAAGGGAAGTCAATGGGAGTGCTGTGAGGATGGCAGGGAAACTTGAAACATGGTATGTTGACCCCAGCCATGTAGCTAACATAACTTTAGTTGCATATCTTGATTAGGTGTTCCCTTTTAATGTAGACCTGGCCTCACAAACACCAGCTTCTGCAATTGTTTACTCTGAAGAGTCAAGCACTACAACGGCAGAAACAGCCAGTCCACCTAATCTCTTAACCACAGATGAATCTTATAGACTTATTGCATCAAATGCGATCCCAGCTCCTGGCCTCCAACAGATGAAGTGTGATATGGTCCAAATACTTCTCTCTGCATCTGTGAGAGTTCATTCCTCCATATAAATTCAGACTCAACTTCCACTGCAGCCAATTTTCTGGCCAGAATTTTTTTCTATTTTGGCTGAAAAATACAAGTTTGGGCATAATTGAAGTCAGGTCAATTTGTTTTCAACTCAAAATGCCTTTTTGTTTTGAACTTTACTACAGTTTTATTTTAAAAAAAGTTTAGAGTCAAAAGTTAAAAAAAACCTTTTCTTCACAGGTCAAACAAAATGTTTCGGTCAATCTGAAACTTTTAAAAAATATTTTTGGCTCAACCACTGAATAGAAAAAATGATTATTCACATAGCTTTAATCCCCACTTCTTATAGCTTTTACTAGAGCTATAAATGATACAAAAATGCCCAGATTCTACTGTGATGGGAGCCATGTAAAAAGATACATAAGAGAATAGTTAAAACAACTACAAGCAAAATGTTGGGCACTTACTGCACAGTTGGTGTGCATCACCATCACTCCATTGACTTAAATGGAACTACACCAATTTACATCAGCTGAAACTCTAACTCTAAAACTACATGGCTAATAATGTGGTCATCCCAACATATGGCAATAAGAACTTTATAGCAGACCACCTGGTATGTTATAAATATAAGTCATGCAAGTCATAACCCCTAAAGTCCAGGTTAGTTTTCATTGTAATCTCATAATTAAACAAGCTCATCGGTTTCTGTAAAATTTTACATTTTACACTTAGTTTTTTCACTTGAATATTTTAAGTATGAGCAAAATCCCAGCCGTCATTTTGAAAGCAGACTAAAGTAGGAGTTTTTTCCCCTCTTTCCTCTAAAAACAAAAATAAAAAAAGTCAGCAGGTTTC